CGTAGTAATCTGCTGCCCTTACAGCAAATTACCTACAGGAAAGGAGGCGCCTGTGTTCTATTATAGAAGGGGACTAGTAAGAGTTAGAAGCTTTAGAAGGATAATGTAAAGATGGGATGGTAAGTAGCACGGATAGCACTGAGAGCAAGCTTTCGGAGAAAGATAGGAGTGTATTGTAAGAGAGACGAATCGCTGCCAAGCTTCGCTTGTCAGGATTCATGCTTATATACGAAGCACAGGTCATACGACCTCCAAACAGGTCAGGTGAGGCCATACTGGCCCGTTCTGGGACATCCGGCCTTACAGATAAGTGTATGTTAAATCTTATTCCTATATACCTTATTCTATACTAATTATAAGTAGTGGCAACGCTTTAACAGATTAAGTATTACTAGTTAGCTAAGTAGAATACTTACTTTTTCTTTACTATTAATCCCTTTTGTTGTCTAGTTTGTGAAATTACTTAAAATGTTAGTTGCAATAACTCTGTTACTTTCTAATAGAGCGCTTAGGCACTTTGTACATTGCAGACAACTGCTAAGTCTTTTATTATAACTCTAATAAAGTGTAGGTGTTAATAGGTTAGTATTAGACAAGGTATTAGATTAATAGGGTTATAAGTACATAATAAGCTGCTATTTATAGCAAACATATTACTATCTAGGCTTAAGATGTTAAATTTGTTATCTGTATTACTTAGGACTTTAGACAGTACTATAATTTTGTAAATAATTATTTAGACAGAAAGAAGTAGGGTCTCTTCTAGTCTATAGCGTTTATTAGTAGTATAGGCATTTACCTAGTTAGGCTAGTGCTTAGAATAATCCACTTTTTAAGGGTTTTTAGGCTGCGGATAGCTCTAGTCTGTCTGCTACACTTACAGCCTTCTTACTAAGGCCACTTATAATATAAAATAATTTCCTGCAAAGGGTTTTTAAGCGTGAAATAACAGCGTACTTAAAGCAAGCTCTGCTTTTACAGATTATTTATGAATTGTTGTAGTATTTTACTATATATAAAAGTAGCATTAGGTAAAAAAAGAGTAGAGGTCCTTTAGTAATTCTTTAAAAGGCTTTAAAAAAGCTAGTCTTAAAGTCTTCTTAGCTATAATACTTATTCTCTTAGTTAAGATGTTCTAGAGTTTAGCTAGCTCTACTTATAGTGCGTGTATCTAGTAGGCAGAGCTAGTAGCTTATTAGTTTATAAGTAGTAAAAAATTATTAAATTTTACTACTTTTTAGTTAAAGTTCTTAACTTTTTTTTTAAAAATTTATTAGTTTATTTATTTTATTACTAATCTACTAAAGTTTTTTAATGTTATTCTAAATTATATTAATCTATTCTACTAGAATAGCTTTACTTTAAGTTAGAACTTTTATAAATTCTAATAAGGCTATGTAGGCTATGTTAGAATCTAAGTTATATTAAGTAGTTATACTTTTTAAAGAGAGTAGTGTTTAATGTTATAATCTTTACTTTAAAAAAGCACTTAGGTTAATAATATTCTTAGTAAGGTAGAGTAGGTAGTAGAGGCTAACAGCAGGGTGTACAGTTCTATGTAAAGGCTATTAGGCTAATAAAGTAAGGTAGAGTAACTAGATTATAGTTTACCCTTAAGCAGCAGTATAGTAGCTAGGTTAAATAGTCCTGTTAGACAAGGTTAGAGGTATATATAGTGCAGATATATAAATAGTATTGCAGCTTATTAGAAAGCTAGAATACTACTTAGTCTATATAAAGAATAAACTAAATGTTAAACACACTTTTTAAAAGTTATTTAAAGTTAAAACTATATACATATCTAAAAGCGCTAAGAACAAGTTAGGTAAGATTTTTAAGTTAGCTATACTGCTAACTTGCTTAACTTACTTAGCTTATTAGAACTTGCAGCCTGCTATTCCTACTAGACAACACAGTCTTCTATAACTGCAGGCAGCTGCGCTGCCTCTGTGTCCTCCAATTGGTCCGTAAGCGAGCCCTGCCCCAACCTAGCTAGATTGTGGAGCACCACGGGTGGAGTTACGTCGGTCCAACCATAGACCGTAACAAAGCAGTAGGAAATTGTTAAGAACAAAGAGCTTAACAAGCAGCAAGAAATTATTAAGAAGCTAAAGCTAAATAAGCAGTAGCTAGAGTTTGCTAAGTAATAGAAAGTTATAAAGAGGTAAGAGTTAGATAAGTAGTAGAGAACTAATAAAAGTTAAGAGTTAGATAAAGATATGCAGTAAATTTAGACTGCCTAGGCTAAACTAAAAGCTATGCGCCTAAAGAGGTTTAAGAGGCTTTACTAGATAGCATACTACAACACAGATAAAGTCTTAAAGAAATTTAAGGATGTCTATGCAGATCTAGCTAACCTTACAAAGCTAATTCTTGCAGAGAAAAAGTTCAAGAACGCTGGCAAAGTACCTGCAGAAAAAAGGGAGCCGGATTTGGTGCCGAACGACACGAGTCTGCTTATGACTCATGTTGTCTCTGACGTACCCTAAAACCTGCTCCTGGAGTTTTATAGACTGCTTCTCTGCAACATCGCCGTACCTCTCCCGCAAACCTGGCAACACATCTTTGTCACGCTCGCCAACTCTTGCAGGATCACGGTTCAACCATCGACTAATATGGGCTATTACAATGCTCATTACCTTCCCCTCCTGCTTCGTGGTCTTAAGGAGAGAGTGGACGTTGGCAAAGCCTAGGTCTGGCCTTGAAAGCACAAATTGATACCGGCCATCATATACGTTATTAGTAGCTGTTATGAAAAGGTTTTGCTGGCGGGATAGGGTAACATCTTTATTGTTGTCTAGGTTAGGGTAAAACAGTTGTTGAACATCTGCGGGCTTTTGTACTTGCGGGAGACTCGCTAACTTAATCCAGTCACTAGACTGGACCTCAATGCTGAATTCACTGCGTATTCGAGATATCGAATTGATTACTAAGTGGAACGTGGTGAACCAGAACTGTTGTACTCTTAGTGTGATTCTAATTGCTCTTATCCACTTACGTCGTCTATCCGGCAGCTTGCCATCTATTCAAATGTAGAATTGTTAAACGTTGCCTGACCAAGCGAGAACTCGCACCATCTTGTAATCATTGGCTTCCAACTCTTATTCCTCCATAGAGTGCACAATCGTCTTACTGGAAATTTAACCTGACCACTTAGCTGGAGGTGCTCTAGCATTTCCTGTTCTGCCTCTGTCTTTGGACCCTGGAAAAGTGTACTGTCTAAAGACGATAAGGTGGCCAACTCAGTCCATATCTGGCCATGGTTGTTGGGAAGAATTCGTGGATGGATTTCTCGTTCAACCGCTAATAAAAAGCTTATCAGTCTGTTAGAGTTTCGTATCCGTGAGTTCGTGCCGTCCTTGGAGCGCTCCCACCTCGGCTCGGCAGATGTCTGCCTACCCATGCTCCCGTTCGAGCGAGAACGAGGGTTGCAAGCCGCAAAAGAAGCGCCGAGCCGCGCATTGTCCGTGGTTTTGTCCTATTCAGGAATACTGGTATCATTTGTGGCGGCGTATTGGGTTCCTGGAGAGTTAGGGGGATCACCACCGGTGTACTTCTTGAGGTATGATACGCATGATGGGTGCATGAGCCTCAACGGCGATCCTTCGCGCTGGCGTCGGGCCAGCGGGGTTTGCGCACAGGACACGAATGTTTTAGCGGTCGCGCCTCGCAGCTTCTCGCGAGTGTCACGCTATCTATGGACCATCGAGACAACTCGAGCGTCATCTCTTGCCGACCAAAGCTCAGAACGTCGGAAAATTTGGTATTCGTGGACTTGCGGCGCTGGCACACGACATGCGATCGAGCCGAGCCCCATAGTCGGGTGGATTGGGTTGGGTGCGTCGTTTCTTCTCACAGCGAGGACCGACTGACCAAACCGTTTCTGACACAGGCTGGAAGGCGTCTTCTCGAATGCGCAATGATGGGCCCCAGACGGAAAGGGGCACGAGCTACTGTACCCCACCCTCCACAGGCAAGGGCCGCACAGTGGATTGGTACGTCCACGTCGTCGACGGGTCCCTCTTGCGTATGTGGGGATGGCCTCAAGGCCTCCCTGCGTGCTCGGATGGCTGTCCTGGGTCGTCAAATCCTTGGCAAATGGGGGTCTGCTCCGGCATGAGCATCAGGGCACCGTCAACTGGCAGCGGCCATTTTGCTTTGATAGGCGCGGGCTTGCTTCCCAAAATCTTTCAACCACAGGATCTGCGGCTGTGATTCGCAGTGCGAGGGAGATTGACCGCGGGGATGCGCCTTTCTAGCTTTCGGCCATCAAGGCAGTCCTTGTAACCTGAACAGCACGCTCCATCCCCCTTGGCACCCTAATAGTGTAGATGAGTCGTGGAGTTGCGCTCTCCCCCATCCAGGACTCGAGCTGCAGCCATCCGGGGACTCCAGTGGCAATACCTGCACAGTCGTCGGCTGTTCCTCTACTGCAAATCTGGACGAAGCCCCCAATATCGTGCCATAAGAGGGATGCTGCTCCTGGCCGACTCCGAGATGGCTGCTCGACAACCTTAATTCTGCTGTTGCACTCAGTTCTCGAGAGGTATTACCAGCTGCCGAAGGCGATGTCCAGCCTGCCCAAAGGAGCAATCAAGGTGTGATCATTCCGTTTCAAACCCGCTTCCTCTGATGCACTCTCTGCCGGAAGCCAGAGCTCCACGTCCCTCCGCCTGCGCCACGTTTTCCGGATGCCCACTGACGGCTGCTGCTCGTTCATCTCGATTGCTGTCCTCGAAACCCCTTCCTAATCTCTAAGCGGCCGCAAGCTGTACAAAGGGCTGCTCTTCCGCCAGGCGTTAATCACAATCTTTTCCACGATTCGATCACTTGCCTTTAATTCGTTATTCGGTTTCTCTCTATATCCTCAACATTCACCAGCTGAGAGTGGCGAAGGCTGACCTGCAAAGCAGCCCAGAATCCTTACAAGGAAAACCAACATCCGTTTAACTGACACCACCTGAATTTGAAGAAATCGACGAGTCCGAAGTCAATTGGCGCCGCGACGTTCTTCCGAGACTTACCAACCACTGGTGGGAATTTCCCCTGCGCCCTTCCTAACGAATTTTCAACGAGCGAAGAGTTCGCCCATTCCATCCTGAATTCTATCAAAATGCCTATGATGCCCATGGTCGTGCTCCTTCCCCTCCACAAGAGGGACCCGTTTAACCCCTCCACCTACGATGGTACGAATACTTGCCATTCCTAGCTGACTTTATTGTTCGTTTACTCTTGTTCTAACGAATCTAGGTCGAACCATCCGGAATGGTCTAGTCGCTATGGGTTTAATGGCACTCGTCTCAGTCGTGACGACTCTGTTCTTACTCATCTTCATGCTAAACCGAATGTTGCGATGGAAGTCATACTACAAGGAAAATTTGTGGCATAATCAGTATATTGTCCTAATTATATGCCTCCTGGTAGCCGACTTAGTTCAGTCTCTCGCCTTCGCCTTTTCATTCTACTGGCTCACATCGGGGGCTGTCGGAGGCCCTGTCAACAAGCCCACCGGTGCCTGCTTCGCCCAAGGCTTCATCGTTCATTTTGGTAAGGCCTTTATTGGCACCTCTTTGCCATCTTCATGTGCTCACCCACTCGACAGGTGATGTTGGCTCGGCCTTCTTTGTTCTCGCCGTAGCAGCCCACACTTGTTTCCAAGTTGGCTTCAGCAGGCGGCTGAGCGATAAACCTTTTTTCTGGGGTGTGGGACTGACCGCGATACTCAGTCTCATCCTTACCATCATCCCTCCTGCTGCGTATGGAACGGGGGTCTATGTTGATACGGAAGCTTGGGTGAGTCGAGCCTTTCTTTCTCGCGCTGTTGCAAAATGGGCTAAGTATCGGCATCCCGGACGCCGGTTAAACCTTTCAATCCTCATGTAGCGTCCAGCTAACACTTTAGACAGTGCTGGATTGCCGAGGAGCATGAAAACATGCGCCTTGGAACCCACTACATCTGGATATTCCTTATCCAGGGGCTCTGCATTATCCTTTACGGAGCGCTCTTCTGGAAGTTGTCCGTGGCTCGCAAGACCATCGGCTCTATGAACAAGACCGTCAATACCAACGACCAGAGGTTCAAGCGCGCAGCTCTTCTCATGGCTATCTACCCAATTGTTTACGTCGGTCTCACTCTGCCGTTGGCTGCTAGCCGGATGGCCTTGTATGCCCATCGAAGTGTTCCAGAATGGGCCTGGGTATTCGCTGGCACTCTCATGACAAGCAGCGGCTGGGTTGACTGTGTGCTATACGCAGTTACTCGCCGTGCCCTTCTGAAAGAAGAGTTCAAGTCTTCGTCTGGCCATTCACGCCATTCCTACGGCGAAGGAACAAACTGGTTACGACGCCACCACAGCGACAAGCACGATTCGACGGACATGTTCGGTGCCAGCATTCGCAAGAGCTTTTACACATCAACAGAGAAGGTCAACGCCTCTGTAGTCACTCGTAATGTTCGCAATGACAGCACTCGTGGCCGTATGTCCGATCGGTCAAATGACTCTGCCACTGCTGTTGATCCACACTCGCCACCACGCTCTCAGAGCCAAGTTCGACTCAAGCACAACAGCGCAGACATCGAGCTCGGCACTTTTTACCGTTCAACCGCAGGCGACGGCGAGGATCCGGAGAACGGCTCTATGAGTTCCGAGTCCCCAATCATCCTACAGCGCTCGAATTCGAAAGGCTCTAAGGGTGGGTCGCGTAAAGCCTCAGAAGACAACATGAACCACAGCAGCAGTGGCCCGAATGCGGCTGTTGAGGGCGATCCCCAAGGAGTTAACATCTTCCGAAATTCCGTTCGTGCAATTTCTCCGACACAACCTGCTCCGCGTATCGCCATGCCTCGGCGAAATTCACCACCAGCCGACCGAACCAGGATACCAGATCGTGCTCACACGCATGAGACTCCATCCGCTTCGAGCCGTCAGTACCAACCCGGCAGCTCTGGTCTTCGGCCTCTTGGTAGCATCACAGTCAACACAGAAGTCAACGTCCAATCTCGGCCTAAGAGCGAAGTCTCAAACGTCAGCAATCCGCACACGTACTTCCAGAGCGGCGCATGGGCAAAGCTGCCTTGAAGATCGACTGCTCGGCATCGTTTAGCATCGACTAAAGAGTAGGGTCAGCGTAACTGAAGTGCGCTTCGACAGACCATGGCGCTACCAAATGCTGTCATCCACTCTAAAAGTGGTGAATCACTAGTTCCTAGCGTGACCTCTAGGCAAAGTCCCTTTGCTTGCTCTGTATTCGGTAAGCGGCGACAAGAGCAGCACACATACACTACACAAACATACCTAATTGCACCGCACGATACCCAATTGGATTTATCACGTTTATTAGTACAAAACATCTTTAAATATTTAGAGATTTAGATTTCTCCACTCTGTATTACGTTATCTATAAACCTGTTATGTTTTGAGAATCATCTAAAACGTCTAAAAGATTAATTCTACCTTCTTTTTTCTTAAAATAATTTAATTTAATTTGTTTAACTACTTTATTGTAAATTATAAGAGCTACGCACAGCCTACAAAAGGTTTAGAACTATTAAAAGATCTAACTATTAGCAGAATAGCTAACAGTAACCTACGCTAATTGCAACTGTAAGACTAAAGCCAGCTTGTTAGTCTGCTTAAGCAATAAAGCATTAAGCCTATAATTACTTAGTCACTGCTTAGTAGTTTTTAGAGACGTAGAGTTAGCATTAATAATATCGTATTTAATACAAACTAATAAAATGTTGCATTAGCAAATATTAGCAATATTTAAACAATATTCTAATATACTTAGTGTATTGAAAAATCTTCTTCTTTACTATATATATACTATAGAGAAAGAGTCTTTTACAAGCGTACAATCTTTAATTGCGTCTGCAAGAGTTTACATAAACAATCTCCTGTTCGCAATTATTTCTATACGCTAACTATAATGATAAAGGGTGGAAGCTGATAAGTAGTAGCGTAGGCGGGCAGTTACTAACAGCAGAGTGTAATTGTAGAAGAGATAAATTGCTGCTAAGCTACAATAGCAGCAACCTAAGCATTAAAAGCTATTCTAGGGCTACGTGTTGCGCTCTAACCTGTTCTAACAAAAGATAACCTGTAAAGGCCTCTAATAGCGCTAAAACAGCTATATATTCTTATTGTCGCAACCGCTGATCAGGGAGCAATGAGGAGCAAGTCTATTGACTATGAGAGGCTTATAGGGAGCCTGCCTATGTAGTGGGAGCTCCGGCGCCAAGTGTCTCAGGCTGCTAGTCCGAAACACAGGTGCGACACCAGGACCATGTGCTCTCTTACGCGACACTTATATTATCCTCTTTTTTTTACAAGGTGACGCCTTAGAACCTTGTGCTTCTAGGTGCTTATTAGCGTGGTTTTTAATATAAATATATGCTAATTAAATTAATTAATATTGTTACTAATTAATACTTGCGTGTATTAGCAAATATTAGTAGATTTGTAATATTTGCATAGATTTTCTTAGCATCTTTTAAAAATTTATATAGCTTAGCATTGTATAAATATTTGTTTAAATATAATAGCTTCTAAAGCTAATTTATTACTTTTTACACTAACATTAGACTTCTTTGCTACAGAGAAGGCTTTAAACTAGGCGCAATAGAAAACTTCTACTCTATAGAAACATACTTAATTGCTATACAAAGAGAAGGTTACACATTACAAGAGAATAAAGCTAATGTACTGTAAACATTACATAAAAACATTACGTTGCTGAAAGTCTACTACAAACTTTTAAATTTACTTAAAGACTAAATATAATATCTGCTTTAAAAGGTAAATAGACTTGTTTGTATAAAAATCTATAATTAACTTTAACATCTTTACACCTAGCTGCGCAATAGAGAGTAGTTAAATAATATTAATACACTAGTCCTTTAAAATGCACTAAATTAGGATGCTATTACTGTAGCGCTTGTTTTATTAATAACTATACAAAGGCTTGTGTTTTAAATAGTTAAATAGCTAGAGTTTTACATGTTTTGTAAAGTTCTAAATCTAGAGGTTAGAGGTTATATTACAACTACTTACTCTAAAGTTAATAAAGTAATGTAAGATACATTCTTATTATATAATAACATTATACAAAAGAAGCTTTAATTAGCAATATCTAAGGGAAACCTCTATATAGATATCTAGACATCTCTAAATAGACATCTTCTATAACAGAGCGGTGACTCTATAATATGCTTGCTGTATGTGGGTTTATGTTAAGTTTGAAGAGGTGAAGCGTAGGTGACGAGAGGAGGGGGCTTTCGAGATAAGTACTCTAGCTGGTTAGTACCTATAGCGAAGAGTAGGGTGTTGTGGTAGGCAATAGATCGTTGAAGTCGACAATTTAGGTTGTTGCAAAGCAAGCGTTAGAAAGACTAGATTGCATTAACTACGAATTGCCAAGGTTGCAATTTGCGTTGACTATATACTTTAGAATGTCTTAGCGTGCTCTGTGGTTTCTTGTCAAGTGATCTGTACAGATCACTCAAGCTACTTAGCTTCTGCTTTAAGCTAAAGATTACTACTTATCTACTTATTATATTTCTGCTAGAGGAAGGTAGAGATCTAGAACTCTTTAGGTCTTAGTTAAGGATTGCGCTAAATATAATATAGGAACACTAATTACTTTTTCTTTTTTTTTACTTAATCCTTACTTAATTCTAGCGTTATTTACTTAATTCTTACTTTTCTTACTTAATCTTTATTTTTTACTTAATTCTTACTTTTTTTACTTAATCTTTGCTTAATTCTTACTTAATTCTTACTTAATTCTTACTTAATTCTTACTTAATTCTTACTTAATTCTTACTTAATTTTTTCTTTTTTTACCTAATTTTTACTTCTTACTTAATTCTTACTTCATCTTTACTTTCTTTATTTAATTCTTGCTTTTCTTACTTAATTTGTGACAGCCCTGCACTATTCGTGGCTAGTTAGTTACATTATACTAGGATCTATGTACATAGCTCAGCTCACTGCCTGCGACTAGCGCGGCTCGGAGATGGGTTCTGCCGGGCCAATGGCTGGCTACTTAAGGCCGCCAGCCTCTAACCCTTCCATCTCCTCACCTTTGTATTCTTGTGGAATATAGCTAACATATCCTATTAAGCTATTTGTGCTACACAATAGTGAAGACAGGGCTTGTTATTATATAATTCTTACTTTTTTTACTTAATTTTTAATCTTACTTTTTTTACTTTTTAGTGCCTTATAATCTGCTAAGCATTCTTAATTTCTTTAGTTTAAATTATACTAAACAGTGTTTACAAATTAGTTAATTACTAGTGTTAGATATAGTTTAATATATGCTAGACTACTACTAGTAGAATAGATCTGCTTATATTTATATAGGGTTAAAACTAGTGTGCCTTTTATTTACTTTTTATATTTTGTTTGCATGTTCTGTTTTCTCTATCCTAGATTTGTAGACTAGCTAACCTAGACAGACAACTCTTTTAGACCTAGAACTAGATAGATCTAGACTATAGGCACTCAGAGCTTTTAATTATACATTATAGTTAAATTTAAAAGTAATAGTAAGTAATTTAAAAGCTTAAATATTTCCTATTAAACTTATTTATTTTATTTATTAAAAGATAAACTCTCTTGTAGAAAAAACTATTATAAAACAGTAAACTAAGATTAAGCGCTTTTATAGTAGTTTATGTTTATTAACCAGCGCTTTTACATATAAACCTTACTTTTAATAAAGTAAACAGAGGCACTTTTATAGTTATAAGAGTTAAATTTTTAGCATAAAATAAAAAAGTCTTTACAACTAGTTTTTAATATTATGTTATAAATCTTTTTTAAAGCCTACTTTTAGAAGTTAAGAAGCTTATAGTTCCTACTGCAGGTCTGCCTAGGGCTAGTCTAAGTTACTTTAATATTCTACCTATTTAATTGCAGAGTTAAGGACAACTTGCAGAAGAAGGGGGGCTATGTCACAGTTAACTTAGACATGCCTTAGACTCTCTCTAGAAAGCCCTTAGCCTAGCCTTAGGCACATAACGTCCTGTCACGTGCCCTAGCACATATATATATATCCTCTCACGAACCCCTGAGTCTCCTCAAGGATTCGTCTATTAATACTATCCTGTACCCCCTTCTACGCTTCATGCTTCCTGCTTCACAGTGCTCTCACACTGAAACTCTGTCGGAAATCACATGCGACACACTCTCGAGGAGCCCCACGGCTCTGAATTATTTCAATCAATCTGGGAGGTCCAAGATGAGCAAATTGGGGTCCAAACTCGAAAATTTAGTATCTAGAAGGCTTATACCTATATGTAACGATTCTCATGAATCGTTCCATCTCGGGTCGTCCGGAACCTATCCGAAGGGTCCCCGTATCGGCTCCGACCTCGACCTGGCCCCGACTCTGCCCTGCCCCCTGCTGTACCCCTATTCCCTCATGTATTTAGTCGCACCTCGCCCCCGTAGCTAGCTCGGTAGTTTTCTGATATCCTTTCGTACAAGGCCTATAGGTGTCAATGGCATTCCCAGGTTCAGAGTCCCCACGCACTCCCATATGCCTCTGAGTGGATTCCCACCGCATTCGGACCCATTGTCTTGCCTGCGCCGTTACACTATAGAAATTAACATCGGGCTGAAATTAGGTATAGAAGGCGAATTATAAGATTTTAGAATTTATCGTTACTCTGTCGAGATATTAAGGGATGGATTTCCCTATATTGTACTCGGTTTTTGGGTGGCCCGAGGAGTGGCCAATCACCTTACAACGAGATGTTAGGATCTGTAGCCATTCTATACACTCGCTTATTCTGCATGTTGCGAACCACTACCGAGCGCCAAGCTCGCAACTCTCCTCAACACTAGCCATTACATAAGCTCTATAACGCAGCCCCATTGTCTCTGCGGGTCCCCGAGTTTTTAGCCACTAGCTATAATAAACACTGACATGTCGGGCGACCGAAAGACATCTAATTCGGAGATGCTAGGATCTAGGTAAAATTCGCTCAACCTTCCCATTGTTTTTGCATAGTTTCAAATGCTATGCACTGAAGCATTGAGTGATAGAACTAATGGCTCTGGCTTAATTCAGATGCTGTCATGCTGAAGGTTTTTGTACTTTAGCCTTGCACCTCTTGCACGTTCTGCCGACTTGATGCTTTGTCCTATATGGCTAGCTTAGGGCGCTTTTGAGCTCCCAAGACCTTGCACTCCTAGCTAGCTTTAGCGAGAGCACCTTTTCAAGAACGACGACGGTAGCTCTGAAACAAAATCACAATATGCTTCAAGATTTCAAACCCTATCTAAGAGGCTATACCAAAGCAGCATCTAGAAATTTTAAAGGAAACCGGTTATGTAGGGGTGAAGTTGCAATAAAGGCGGGTGTCACAGTATCCTCCCCAGATCCCAGACATAACTGTATTAGACGCGTACTAGAGTATTATTAGTGCACGTCTAATATAAACACAACATAACATAGACATAAACTTAAGCATAAACTGCCTTAACACTAACTAAACCTAGAATAGGCTTAATTTATACCTAAAGCGCTTAGACTTTTAAGCTAAGTATTTAATTACTAATTTTCTTCTAAACTTTTTTATTTCTTACATAACATCTTATACCTACTATAATACTTTATGTAGTAATTAAACTAGACTTTTGTAAAGCTCTATAACTTTACTTATATATAATTATAACATTACATTGTGTTAAAACTTTAGCTAAGAATAGCCTCTAAATCTAATTTAATAAGCTTAGTACTTGCATAACTTTAAGCTATTAAAGTAAGCTAAAAAGCTTTTTAAAAAGCGCTTACTTTATAAAAAAGCTACTATATTATAAGCTTTAAAGCTTTTTAAAAAGACTTTAAAAAATAGCTTTATGTTATTAAGTAGTCTATTTTTACTTTAACTTTTATTATAGTAGTAAGAACTAAGAACTTACTAGCCTTAAAGCTTACTTAAAAGTCTAGAGATAGCTTAACTTTTTTCTGCTTAATACTACCTATAACTTATAACCTTTTTAATTTAGTAATAAAATTTAACTAACTTTTTAATTCTTTACTATTTAATAAAAAATAAAAAGACCTACTTTTTTTTCTATATAAGCTCTAATATAAACTTAAAGAAAACATAGACTAATTCCTCTTTAAACACTTTTAGTTACTATATGCCTACTTTTAACTTAACTATAATATA